ATATATATATATTTTTTTTTTTTGCAAGCAAATCAACTTATCAGTAATACTGGCTTATGTCACTGTTTAAAGGACCCTATCTAACTTTACCTTATGCAAAAACAGAATCAAATCTCTGAAGTACATTGGACTTGATGCATTAAACAGTTCTTTTAGATTATTAACCTCATTGAAATATTGGAAGGCATGTCTGGCGGCTGAAAACTTGAACTCGAAAATAAGGTGCTCGTTTGTTTCTTTAACCCGACACACTGTACATAGGTCACTCACATCTCTTTTAAACTTACTCAGATATGTTCTACCGTATGTATAACCTGTCATGATTCTATTTAAAAGTTTTATATCGAACACATCTAACTTATGAACTGGTTTCTCAACCGCTATGCATATAAAGATATATATATATATGTATAAACAAACAGTGTTGCCACTCAAACTTTTTTTCCTACCACAATTGGTACGAAATAGCTCTCAGCCTACTAAAATGTGACTTTCATTGAAAATGTGATTTAAATGTTGTAACATATGTAAGTAGGTTCAACACTTTATTATAACTTTATTATAACAAAATCAAATAAAATTTACTTGTCCATAATTTGTCTTCATGCGCAGCTCTTTTTGGGTAAAATGAAAAAAAAAGCGCGAACTCAAAGTCAAGCATTGAAAATTACATATTTTTACTGTTGCTACACGAATTCAAAGCTGTCAACTATTATTTTCTTAAGGGAGAAGAGGGAAATAAAGTACAAATACTGTCCCTGCTCACTCACTCGCTTAAGCGAAATGTAAAATTTGGCATTTGCATAACTAATGTGACCAACCGTACTTCTTTCGGAAGTACAGCACTTCTTTTTTAGCTCTTGTACTTCCCCTGTAGGGAAACGTACTAGTGCGGAACTGGTTCGGTTCTAGTGCGTTTGGAACCATGACCATTACGCGTTAATTCTCTTTTGCATGCTAGCGACTGGCGAATTTAACATTGCGATGTCCTAGGGAAGTGTCAATTGTCCCCCGTTGCATCCCTTTGGCTCTAGTTCCGAACCAGTTCTAGATTCGACAGATAAGATCTAGTTCGTTTTGCATCCCTTTTTCTATAGTTCCGAACCAGTTCCAAATTCGACAGATGAGATCTAGTTCGTTCTGCATCCCCTTTTCTTTAGTTCCAAACCAGTTCCTAATTCGAGAGATGAGATCTAGTTCGATCTGCATCCATTTTTTATATGTAGCTCCCAACCTGTTATAAATTCGTCACCTTAGATATATATTTCTAATCAGGCTTGTCGAAACATTTCCCTTTTATATTAATTACGATCGGTTGAAGGAAGGACAATACCATCACAAATGTTTGTACGCATTTATTAAAAATTTATAAACCACATTAGTAGTATTAAACCTAAGTAGTAAGTAAAAAACAAAAGTGCGTTCTGCTTAAAAGTAAAAATATTAGTTCACTTTGTCTACTTGTCTAAATTTAAGCATATTGATTTTTAAGTAAGATTCAGTTCTTTTTAAGCTTATATGTATATGAAGTACTTCGAAAGTTTTTGTCGTACTTAAATAAGATATACAGTCAGTCAATAAAGTTTAGGTACAGGGAAGTTTTTACAATACCGGAAACTATTTTTTAAATATTTTATTTTTCTTAATTTTTTACAAAAATATGGTTAGTTCTACTCAAAAGCCCCAAAAACCAGAGTTCCAAACCTTATGCAAAATTAAATAAAATGTAATTAAAACTCCGCAAATTTCCATCCAAATATTGCAATTTGCACTCGTTAGAAAAAAGTTAAGTACGCAGTTCTTTTAGCCCATTCAATTTCTAGTATAACAAAGTGCAAGTTTGAGGTAGCTCGGACTTACCATTCACATTTAGCAATTTTTTGTTGTTGTTTGGTAAGTCCTAGCTTCCTCATACTAAAATTGAATGGGCTAAAAAACTGAAAACTCAACTTTTTCTAGAGAGCGTAAATAGAAAGTGAATTATTTAAATGAAATTTTGCAGAATTTTCTTAAATTTTGCACAAGGTTTGGAACTCTGATTTTTGGGGATTTTGTTGTATAATTGACCATATTTTTATAAAAATATTTAAAAAATAGTTGCTGTATTGTAAAATAATCGTTGTACCTAAACTTTATTGACTGACTGTATTAAGGTAGCTGTGCTGGATTGCATAAAAAAAAATTAATTTTTCTTTTCTTAAAAAAAGGTATCTCTGGTGGCTTGAATTTTTAAATAAATTTAGTGAGGAAGTGGTATTATTTTGACACTTTTTTTTTTAAATGCCTCTTTTTCTGCAACTGCATTGCCTTTCTCAATGTCCTTCAGGATCTTGGCCTTTTTTTATGGAATCACTAAGTATAATGATTATTAAGCAACTCAAAAACTATACCAGCGTGATTACCGACGTATCCTTTTGAGAGGCAGCCGCACCCTTATAAGAGGAATAAAACCCAAACTTTTCAGGTCAAAATTTCAGTAGGTTGCGTCTGTATGGCCTTTTCAATTTTATAAATTATCATTGTTTTTAGGTGGAAAAATAGAACTCAAAATTAATGATAATCTCTGCGCGAAAAAATAAAAATCATAAAATAATTATTATTTATAATCCCAAAAATAAAAATCAAATAATAATTATTTCCGTTTGTGCGAAAAAATAAAACTCATTAATAATTCATAAAACAATGATTAAATGCTGATTTAAATTATTTTACTCATAATGATTACCTTCCCTGCTTTTAAAATTTGAAATAAAATAGTTTAGTGAAAGTACCACATTTCACTGCTTTTGGACTGGTGCGGGCCTAGTTACTATCGGACTGGTTCGTTTTTGGCGAAAAAGAAGTAGTACTGAACTAGAAATTCGGTTCACTAGTTCGTGTTTTCCCTACAGGGTCGTACTTCGAAGTACAGTAAAATGTACTTCTTTGCAATATTTTATAATTCAGCTCCTGTAGTTCTACGATTTTCTGGACGATCAACACATGGCTTGGGCTATAAATTCGTTCAAACCATTAAAGTCGCCGGGGACCGATGGCATCATACTTGCGAACTGCGTGAGGACCGGGTACATCCCCAAGGCTTCGAGAGTAGTCAGTGTTGTGTTTATCCCGAAGGACCGAAAAGGATCTCATGTTTCTGCTAGGGATTTAGGGCCTATCAGTCTCTTTGTTTTCGCTAAAATCGCTCGAGAGATGGATAGACCTGTACATAAGAAAGCGATTCCCCGTGGCTATCTTTCAAGAGCTCAACATGCTTATTGCAACCTCGGTGGATACCACCCTGCACACATTGCTAAAGGGGTCAGAGGAAGCCTTCACGCAGTAGGGGCCTTCCTCGATATCGGGGGAGCCTTCAGCAATGTCACTCCAGAGGCAATATAAAGTCTATTCATAATTTGGGGGTTGAAACCAACCTAATAAGGCTTATCTAGTTACAGCTTACTTTGTGACAGAACTGTCGCGGCGGAATGCGGGCGCGCCTGCACTCAGTGCAGTGACAATATGGGCACTCCGCATATTGGTGTTCTCCCTCCCCTGCTCTACGTTGCAGTTGTAAACGACCTTCTAGGGGACCAGGAAAAAGTGGGATGTCGGGTGATCTCCTATGTAGATTATGTGGATCTCTTGGTTAAAGGACGATTTCTGTACACCCTTTTTTTCTGCCTCAAGTTTACCTGATGCAGGTTACTAGGTGAACAATCAATCCCAGCATAACGGAACTGGTCTTGTTTACCAGTAAGTACAAGATATTCGTTGTGGCCGTTCCCTAGAGTGCGGTTGTTCGTCTGCGGCTCTCATACAGGCTCAGGTACTTAGCCTAACATTGAGAAAAGAGTAAAAAGGCATCGGTTTTCTTGTACTGCTGTAAGGGAGCTATCGGCAAAACATAATTCATTAGCTCTATGCAACCAGATTTAAGCTTATTTTGTTTCACGGAGTCCTTGTCTGGTGGAACCCGCTAGAAAAAGCGACACTTGTAAATAAGGAATGAGTGGAGCATTAGGAACCACAGCTATACTGGCGCTTAACGCCCTGAACACATAGATTACAGCGCTTCCGAAATGCCTGCCAGAAGCTTCTCCTCTGCCTATATTCCCTCAAGAGCTGACTGGGTAGGGAGGGATTACTAAGGATTCCGGACATCTGCAGTGTCTTTCTGGTGGAAATGGATGCACTGTTGGATGGTTGGGCCTAGTGTGAGGTCGGCGGGCGCCAAACTAACACGCATACTTTACTAAATACCTAATAAAATGGGCAAAAGAAAGCGATGCTCCTTTTGTGACATAAAAGAGGAAAATAAGACGTTTTTCCGCTGCAGAAAACGTTTTTATAAGGCACTTTAAAATACTTTTTGCAACGCTAGTAACGAGTGACCCATCGCTACCCTTTAAAGGCGCCGAATACCACGTTACCTCTCAAGAGCTAGTGATGGGGGTTCTGACAGGCCATGGTACGATTGATATTCACTCGGTAAGACTAGGAATTTCAACTGATACCTTTTGTTTTAGCTATCAAAAGGGAAGATGAAGTGGAATCATCTCCATACTTTCTTTTAGACTGTCCACCTTCGCGAGGCTAAGATGGAAGCATTTTGGCTCGCTCTTCTGAACTAACACTGAGTTCTCAGTGATCGAAATTAGCCACATTCGAAATTTTAAATCGACTCGCGGCGTTAACCTAACCCAACCTAACCTGTACTTCTTTGAGCTATGAACTAGTTGGTCACATTATGCATAACAATTGTCCAATTATTTTCTTCTAACTTAAACAAACCCTATGGATTAGAGCACAGTCTAATCACGGAAACATTCAACTTCGGTTCAAGAATAATTTTGACATGTCCCATTTCTCTTTTCCTTTTCACATCATCCTTTACATGTACTCCCGAAAACAGAGATATTTGAAGCCTTATAAAATGAATAAATTATATGATTTGCCTAGTTACCAAAACCCTTCGAAAATCACAACAAACCAACCAACCTACCAAAGCCTTATTTAAGAAATGAAACTACCAACTTTGGTCCAATTGGACCGAAACGGCAACACTGTATTCAACATGCCTTGACCGTAAGGCAGAGAAACACGTAACAGCTAATTCAAAGTATGTAATCCAAAAAGAAGTTTCATTTCATTTGAATAAAGTTTCATTGAAACTGAAAAAGGTTTCATTTATGCCCCTATTACGGTTTACAACTCAACTCCATTTCAGTTGAAAACTTACAATTTGGTATTATCGATAACAACTCAACCTGTCAAAAAATTTTTGGTTGTATTTATATCGTCTTACAACTTTTTTGTGGTATTACCGTTTACCACCCTGTGCTAGTTCGGTTGACAAAAGTATCGAAAATCGACAACTCATTACTAGCAGTTCTTTTGAACAAATTTTTAAGCGAAAATGGAAAGCGGGTAATTAAATTTTTTTAATTTGTCTTAAACCAATATCTTAATCAGGAATTTCTTACAAATTTGTAGAAAAAACAAAGTTACAACAAAACAACAGTTTGAAAAACTAGTTGAGCTGATGGAGCAGCATCCCGAAACTGGACGACGCAAGCCGCAATTTGGAAGCAGCAAAAGTAAAAGCAAGGGATTGTGGGAGCAATTTGCCATAGAGCTAAACAGTTTAGGACCACCAACAAGAACTGCGCACGAGTGGGGACGAGTAAGTAGTAATCATGGAATTAGACCAATACAATAAAAGCGCAATAATTTATTTCTCCTGTAGGTTTGGATACACTATAAGGCAAATTTAAAAAGGAAGCTTGCCAACAATCGCAGCAATATTATTGCAACTGGTGGTGGTCCGTCGCAAGAGGTTTCTTTAAATCCACTAGAAGAAAGTGTTGCGGAACTTATTCAGATAAGGGAACAAGTTGCATCCAGTGGCCGGGCGTTCGGGGTAGAGAATATACCACCGGTGATGGATGGCGAAGAAATATAAGACGGCTTAGTTGCAGCTTCGTCCATGGTTGATGAGCCCCAGGTAACAAACATTGAAGATCAGCCCTATTCGTCAGCATCGCGTGTACAAAATCGCCGCAGAAGCTGCAATTTAGAAACTGAGCGTCTAGAGCTCCTAAAAATGCAAGCAGAAACGCAAAAAGAGGTACTAAAAAAAAA